TCATTGTTCTGTAATCTTTTACTTTGGTTTATTTTGCTCTATGCCAGTACAATACTTATTATTATAGGTTGCTAATATATTTATTTTCACATGAGCCTACTTAAGTCCTCCAGCTTTGTGCGCTTCCAAAACTGTTTTGAATGTTTCAAATACGTGCAGTGCTAGTAGACGTTATTAAGGTTTTGACAGGGATTCCTTTGAATCTGTAGATGACTTTGTTAGTATGGTCGTCCCCAATATTTATTCATCCAATCCATTAACCCAAGATGTCATTTATTAGTGTTTGCTTTAATTTGATTCTGTTTTTTAACTTAGACTATATAAAGTATTCACTTTATAGTTTGGTTTATTCCTATTTTAGCCTCTTTCATGATATTGTTAATGGAGTTATTTTAACTTTCTCTTCGAATTGCTCATGGTAAGTGATGTACACAGGTGACTGCGGTGGTTTCAATAAGAATGTCCTGCGTGGTCCTGAGCGTTTGAACACCCGTGTCCCAGGTGGTGGTGATGTCTGGGGAGGGTTAGGAGATGTGACCCTGCTGGAGGAAGTATGCCACTGGGGACAGGCTTTGCCAAAGTAAGTCCCACCCTACTTCCTGTTTGCTCTGTTTCATGTTTGTATTTCAAGATGTGAGCTCTTAGCTTCCTGCTCCAACTACCATTGTCCTCCTGGTACCCTCTGCGGAGTCCCCCCAAAACTAACAAGGAGAACGAGTCCCATATGTAAAAGCAAAGAGTCTTTATTTATACAGAAGCTGGCAAGCTCAAACTCTAGTGTGTCCAATGGATTAGTGATCTGAGATACCTGAGCACAACTGGGTGGGTTTTTTTGTTTTATTTTTTTAAATAATAGCAGAGGTTGAGGTGAGGAATTTTAAAAGTTCAGGACCCCTGATTGGCTGACATTTGTCTAGGGGTGTCCTGGTGGAAAGGGATGGGTGTGTACTGGCAGGAATTTCCTTTGTTTCTGAATGGTTTCGGCTTCTGGTCTTTCTTGCAAGCAAGTATTGCCTTAGGGTAAGCTACCGAGACTCAGATCAGTATTGAGCTTGTCCTGGCTGGGTCATACACCTATAACCTCCAGTCTTGGGCTGTACAGAGGTTTGCATTACTGGAAAGTGGGCTTAGAACTGCCTCTAAGATTTTGCCCTCCTCCTCTGAGGGCTGGGCTCCTGGCGTCATTGCAATTCCTCCTCAAGTAGGAATTTATCAAGACTAATTTTCTCTGGTCTGGTAGTGCAGGCCGGTGAAGGAGGCAGAGGCAGGTGGGTCTGGAGTTCGAGGCCAGTCTGGATTACACATTTTTTCTTCAATTTTCACCAAAAATTCTTCAATCTATGTCTGTAACACCCACAAACAGGTAACTAACAACAGCCCCTCCAGACGCACGGGAGCCCGCTACACATGCTGCTCACAAGCCCCTGCCCATGCACTCGCCCGACCCTCACTCGTGCCCATTAGAGCCATTGTCTCTAAGAACATAGAATCTGCCCTTTTACAGTTTAAGGCAGATGCCCACTAGAAAGAACCCAGAAGAAGTGATAATGGTATGATGAACATATTCTAACTTTCCAAAATCTATTTAATGAAATACATCCATTTGCCAAGTTTTATTTTATTTTTGC